ATTTCCAAAGTAACATACGCACCAAAGATTTTCCCCTGTATGAATTGCTTTGCATCTCAGGATCTCAAGGAAGTAGGTAGCCAGTTGCACATTGTTAGTGCATCCAAAAGTCCCAATAAATTATGCAGATTGGGTGAAGAGTGCAGCATCCAGGTCTGTGAGATTTAATTATTCAACCATTCTGGCATCGAGCTGCTTTGATCAGGCTTTTGAGAACGGCTGTGTGCCACATGAAAAGATCTGTTTGTCACTGAAACTCCAGTGATGAGTTTGGTTATACATCCTCCTCATGCAGTTCAGCTGAAATGATTTGTGTTTCACATTTTGCTGCATTTTCCCTCTTTGATCTCTAAGGCCTTATATCCTGGTATGTTTTGTTGTTTTCAGGATCCAGCTATCCTATTAAAAAAAGTTTTATTTGTGGATATGTAAATGAATACAGAAAAAAAGGAAATGCAATGGCTTCTGATGTGTTAGATGTGAATATAGAAGGGAATTGGGTTCAGGGTAGATATCCTCTGAAATGATGATATAATGTTTTATATAAATAATGCCTTATTACGTAGCAACATGGAGTGAGGGAACAGTTCCGTTTACACAGCTTGTATTGAAAAATGCAGCATGGAACCATTTAAAAACTAACGTTTAAAAATGTGGGAGGTTGTACTTTGGCTTACTGGGGAATGGTTGAGTTATTACAACGGAGAGGAATCCTCTGTTTTGAGAGGGTTTTATTTTGGTCTTATTTGTGACATCAGCATGAAGGGTTTGGAAAGTTTAGAGGGGCATTTTGAATTCAGGAGAAACATGCGATACTGAAAGCAGCTAAAATCAGAGGAAGCATTTGCTTTTCACAAGAGAAAGTTGGCATGGTATCCAATTTTGTTGTTTAAACAAGGTTTCATAGTCATGCTTGGGTGCTGTTAGCAGGATACATTGTGCCTTTTGAATAGAGAGGTAATTAGGTGCGTTAGTCTGAAGTCAAGCAGAAGGCAGAGTAAATTTGCACCTTTGTAGACTAACTGAATCAGAGATGCATAGCATATGTGTTTGTAACCAGAGGTCATACTTCATCAGGTGCTGATGAAGTAAGTCTGTAAAGGTGCAAATCTACTCTGCCTAATATAGGTCATTGTTAGGCATTGTTAGGTGCAGAAGGGAGAAGGATGCTCATATTTCCAGAACATTGGCCTTTCTAAGTCTGCTTACAGGAAAGAAAGTAACTACAAGGCAGATCATAAATGGTACTAAACTTTCAGTTCCTTGCTGGATGGGGTAGGGAGTTTCTTGTGGGCACTCATTCCTTTTTTGGGCAAGTACTTCACATTGTGTGGTATTTTCTTTTCCTTTTCCTTTCCCTTCCCCACTCCATGAGGCAGCCTTCTTAGCTTTCTTTTATGGTGCTCTGAATAAATATGTCAGGAAATCACACCTCTTATTCATCACTTAGAGGCTGTTTCCAGATAGAGTAAAAGTATGCAGTGGATTCAGGATATATTGTGTTGTTTTCCTGTTGAATTGGACTTCAGGGATGAGTGTCTCCTTCCCTGATGATCTGTTCTGGCCTTGAGAGATCGAGTGAAATTAAAACAGCCTCCTGATTTTTCTTTTGCCCTTTTGATCTGGCTTGACAGTATCAGAGGTTCAGAAGTGTTTGTAGAGAGGGTTTTGTGATTGCACATCTGATATCTGCCCTCCAGGTCCTGTTCAGTGGGTTCTAGACTCCAGCAGGAGACCGGCACCAGAAAGGACAAGAGGCCAGCACTTCTCTGCTTAGAACTACTATTTCAGTACGATGGTGGGAGGGCCAGAGGGACCAAGACCCTCCTTAAAGTTAATGCTTTGCTTTGTTCCACCGCTCAAAGGCCATCACTCCTTCAGAGCAGTTCCTTCCAAGAACACAGACTTCTCTCTTATGCGCCTCTTACTTCCAAGAAGCTTGAGGGTGCTCCCTGCTTTTCTCCTGCTTTGCCTCTGCTCTGCCAACTTCTCACATCTTCATCGAGCAGCTCTTGGATGCAATGTCTTGTGAAGGCATCCCATAGCATGAAGTAATGCGATTCCGTCTATATTAAAGCATGCAAGTTTGTTTTTTTTAAAATGCTGGCACAAAGCCCAGACAAGCAGATGTCCATGCCCCTTGTTACAGCTGTAATTTGGAGCATCCATGGTTTAACAATGGCTGGTAAAAAATTGTGCTTTTTTGTGGCAGACGCCTTTTTCCTTTAGGAGAGTGTGGGTGTCCCAGAGCTGCCCATGCTCTTCAGCCATCCTAGACAGGTGCTCCTGGGGTTCAAGGGCATCATTATATACATCATAGGAATTCCCAGGGCATGCAGGATGGGGGACCTGAAGCTCTGGGAGTGGTAGGGACAGTGGGCAGTGTTTACGTTCACTGAGGTGAAGTGGTTTAGACAAAATGTGACCCATATAACATAAATGTGCTGTTTACCAAAGTCACAGAGGTTGCTTGCTACTTACCGACTGTGTTAAGGGAGAGAAGAGGTCTAGCTCCAGGGGCAGAGGTGTTTTGGGAAGAAGCATTCTCTTGCCTAAGGAATTCTTCTAAACTCAATTGCTAATGTATACATTACAGGCTAAATCAGCTTGCCAAGTCCTTGCCCAAATTTCTGAGTTCTGGGGCTCTAAAAGTTGGGGCAGATTCTCATTAAATAATACTGTTTATAGCTTTCTGTAGACTTCTGTCTTTTTTTAAAGCTTATTTTTGGTATCCACCCATACTTGTGCCTTTTTTTGTGTGAGAGCTTCCTAGTTATAGCAGGCAATTAGGTTTGTTTTTTTTTAAATTCCTACATGGAATTGTTAAAGTAAGTTTCTGTTATGTAACAGGGGAAGCAGAGCAGGTCTGTTTCAGTTGGTTATGAGGGTCCCACAAATCTACTTTCTGCTTATATTCGCCCTAAGAACTCCATCTAGTGTTTCTTTTTATTTTACACATTTTGCAGCATGTTTTCCAACTTGTATTGTTTGCTGCTACCTTCTGGTAGGTAGAGGAATAATTTGAGCTGGTGTTCTTAAATGGCTGCAGGAACTAAAGCAGTTTATTTGAAAAAAAAATCGGAGAAGCAGGAAGTCATGTAATATTAAAAACACATCTTTGGATTTCCCCTTGCTAACAAAACAATGTGGCAATGCCAGTATGTTAGTTACAGTCCCTGCGATAATGTTTTACAAACCCTGACATTTGCTGAATGCTAAATATAAGGTTAAAAAAAAATCTGATAATGGGATATAAAAGAAATTGTTTACAATTTTAGTGTTGACCTCAGTGCGCTTTGGATCAACAAATATGTGAGGTACGCTTCAGCGAGATTTAATTGCAATATTGTATACCACCTCTTGGGCCCTTAAAGGGACTTCTGCATCTAAGTATGATCCTATTTCACATTGCTTGAGTCTCTGAAAAATCATTAATACAAAAGTTTAAGGCATCTTCTTCAGTTTTTTTGATGTAGCATTAAATCCATGATGATGGTGCATTATAAAAATAAACATATTAATGGTTTTTGAAGGACTCGGAGTGGAATAGGATTGTTCTTAAACTTCTAAGATCCCTTTGGTGCTTGGTAAGTGGAATAAGGTCTTCCCTAGGGCTGTGCGAAGCTTTGGTGCCTGATTCGATTTGGTGGAGATTTGGCCCAATTCAGTGGCCAAATCTCTGAATCTGAATCGGAGGACCCTTTAATCTCTCTGAATTGAATCAGAACACTACAACTTGATTTGGGGAGATTCAAACATAGAGACAGCTTTAAATATTATTTCTACATACCTCTAGTTAGCAGGCAGCTCATGAATGCTGTGTTGCTGGGGTGCATGGAGTGTCTCACAGAAGCACAAGGGGCTCCCCAGCGCGCTCGGCAGCAGACCTGGAAGTAGACCAGAAGCAGACTGATGCCTCCTGGGTCTGAGGGGGGCACCCAGGGTCCCCCTACAGCCAATCACCAAGACGGGGGGGGCAGGGCGGCCCCCCAGCGTGCTCCCTGGCAGACCTGTAAGTGGTCCACTTCCAGGTTCGCCACCGAGCATGCGGGGGACCTCCCTGCACTCCTGTGGGACACTTAATCTGCCCCACCACTGCAGCAGTCATGAGCCACGCTGGTACCTCAAGGTATGTAGAAAAAACTTTTAAAAGTGTCTGTGTCCGAATTGCTGATTCTCTGAATTAGCATTGAATCTTCAGATTTGGATTTGGCCAAATCGAATCAGAGACAGTGATCTGAATCAAAAAATTGAATCGCTGTCCCTGATTCGGGCCGAATCCAAATCTAATAGGGCCCGCTTCGCACGCCCTCAGTCTTCCCCATTGTACACAATACAAGAAGGAAAGGGGAATCCTTTAAATCACTGGGGACCCAACCTTTTTGGCAGGTGTGCCACAATTTAGGCTCTCCAAGTGCCACTTCTGAATTTCCTTCCCTTGTCCAGTCTGCTGCTCTGCTTTTTATTTCCTGCCCTATGCTCTGCCTCATCTATTGTTGTGATATCTGCCCCCACCCTGACCTGCCACATATTACACACGGAAGGCTGCCCGTACTGTTTGTCAGAGGCTTCCACCCTTTCTTTAAATCATAGATAGAAAAGATGTAGTCTGGTGCCTTTCAAAGAGATGATTCTTTAAGGTACATTTTTCTAATGTTTTGACTGAGGTATGATATGCTTTGTTTACAACTTGTTATTTGCAGATTTAAACCTCACATCAGTTGAACAAACTTGTCTTATAATTATTAAATATTGTGACTGCAGTATAAAAACTTTTGAATAGTTATTTTTTTAATAACTAGCTTTGTGCTATCCTTTACTCCTGGAATGAAGCCAGTACTCATGTCACTATTTTGTATATCTGTAGAGTTTTCATATCCATTTTCAGATCCAAAGGTTTTGAGAACTATGCAGTTCTCTTGGCAGCTGTTCATTTTAAACTGTTTTATTTCTGATTGGTGCTTACAACACTAACCTTTTTTTAAATTTTCATTTCACAGATCAAAAGTTCAAATGGCTGTAAGTACTGTTTTGTTGCTTTTTTAATAATTTTGTTTTGTGTTTAAGTTTTCTTTTTCTGTGACTCCTGAATAATAGAGCAAACTGAATTTCTATCAGTCATTTTAAACCTCATATTATCACAGAAACATTATTAAAACCCACTTGTTCACTAGCCATAACCTTAGTCCAACAAAGTACTTAAGCACATTTAAAATTTAATCGTGGCTTTTAGTCTGTTTTTAAGCCTGGGATTAGTTCCGTTAAAAAGTCAGTGATGCCAGATCATATGCTAATAGTAATTTGCTGGCCTGTGATCTATATTTAAAAAGCAAAGTGGAACCAATGCAAAGCAAGGATTTTCTACCTGAACATAGGAATATTTATGCTTGCAATATTTATATAGTGCCAAAGATCCATCTTGTCCAATAAATAATGCTTTGTAGTATTGTTTGTCAACTTTTGTAGCAAATTTTCCTTAAATAGTAATCCTAAATAAAGAACAAGTAGCAGACTAAAGCAAATTTTTATTAAAAATTTTAGTGATGAACTCCTGTTTTTAATATTAAGGCTTCTTGACACAAATCTGGCCATATGTCTGCTGTACATGCCAGAAAGGTGACATAAATGAGAATCTGACAGAGAAAGGCTCAGAAAGCATTTTCTCATGATCAGTCTGGAAAAATTTGAATGCCTAGCTCTTGATTTTCATGGTGGGAAATGATAGGGAGTAATTTTGTCATCCTTTACTCCTTTCCCCCAAATATGTCATTTCATGTTTGACTGCTTTTCTTAAGCTTGCTCTGTATACAGTTGTGTATCATTGTCACTTTTTTCAGTGACAGCATGATTTTCACTTAAATAAGTACATCAAGATAACTGTTATCCACATTTCAGGTTGTTAGTATAGATATTTCTTGTATTAGCACAGCTTATTCCTTTTCTCATACGGGCATAAGCTGTTCTGGTGTAAGAACTAGAGGTGTACCCATATATCAGTCTGATATCGGATTAGTACCAGTATAAAGAAAACTGGCTGTATCAGCTATCAGATAATTTGGCTGATAAATGCCCGTGCTGTGCACAGCTGCAGTGCAGCACTCGGGCAGTGAGGAGTACAGTTGGCAGCATGGAGAGCTGCCTCCAGCTGGTAGGTCTGGTGTGGGGGAAGGGAAGGGAAGAAGGGAGGGAAGAGGTATGGGGAAGCAGATCAATGGTGAGGGAGGGGACAGTGGCCAGTGCTGCCCCTGCACAGGGGGGGGCGGAGCTGTGGCTTGTGGGGGTGGAAGACGCCTCCTGCTTGCATCCTGGGGGGTGGGCGGCGGCCACCTATGCCCCTGTATCTGCACAGGGCAAGGCGGAGTGGGCTGCTGCTGGGGCTGTGTGGGGCTCTTCTTGGCAGGGGGCTAGGCTCAGAGCGGGCACCAGTGGCACTGGAAGAATGCTGCATCCACCTCAAATTTTGCCACCGCTCCACTCCCAGCGCCACCTCTGCCAGCCACCCAGTGCAGCTCTGGCTCAATGCCCTGCCTCCACCCATGTGCCAGGAAGAGCCTGGTGAAATTTGGGGGTGATGCAGCATCTTGCCAGCGCCACTGGCACCCGCTCCAAACCCAGCACCCATCAAGAAGAACCCTGCGGAGCCCTGGCTGCAGCCCATCCCGCCCTGTACAGATCCAGGGCACACGCCCCCTGCCCCCCCC